CATTGAACAATGTCTGTCACGGTACCATTCGTCAGCTGTTAGACGCGCGCATAAATACTAGTAACGTATATAACGTTGTGGAACCACCGTTGTGGCGGTACGTTACGCCGTATAAAATGATGTTTAATGACCGTTACGTCGCAAACGAACCTTAAAGATCGCTTGATTCATATACGCTCCAAGTACCGTAGGTTGAATAAAATCGAGCAGAGGAAGTCCACGTTCAAGAAATTGAAACGAAACGCGAATTTTCACGTCAATAGCTGAGAATTTAATTAATAGATTAGATCTTTATTTTTTCTGACATGAGATTGAATTCTTAATTCTCGGATTCTTATCTTTTAATAATCCTATGAATCCGATGAAATTTTTCTTTTCGATTTGATTAAGATTGAGATGGTTACTTGTTATAGGAAAAAAAATTCGAGATAATAAAGATGTATCGCGAAAGTTATCGTTATGTTCGATGATGCGGATCTCGCAGTTTTCACTTCTCGCATCTGCTGAGCGATTAAGTACCGTTAGAAAAAAATTACCTTTGGACGTGTCGCTATTCAATCTGTTCGTGAACGAGCGAGATGCGTGAGTGGCTCGCTTTCTCGTCGAAAGGAAAAAACTTAGTTGCATTTTCTAACGCTCTGCTTCGTAAACTGTAGGAAGCGAATTTGTAGATTTCTCGGGAAAGTCTGTAAGTAATTTCAGAAATTTTAGAGAAATCTAATAAAATTATTATAGATGGCTGAAGATAATCGCTTAATCTCTGTCTTTAGCGATGTTGATGCATGATAGTTCATATTCTGCCTCTCAGTCTTTAAATATTACCTTAACATTGAAAATATATATTTCGGAAAACTTGGATAAAAATATCTCGAACAGATGTGACTTTTGTATCTCTGACTTTTTTATGATGATCGTCTGGTCTCAGCGAGGAAAATAAGGAACCACGTGCGGTGTCTCGTGTAAAAGGTGATGTATTTTTAGTAGCTCATTCAAATTGAGCTAGTTCATTTTTTCCAGACTTTTCAAATTTTCTGTTCACATTCTGCGTTATTTCTCGCTTTTACCAATTATCTTGTCCTAAGCATTCATTATTCGAATCTGAAAATTTCAAGCTCTGGAACTCTGCATAAAGTTAAACGTACAGAGATAAAATTCTAAATCTTAAAGCTGTCAGTGAAGAAAATTGTATTGTTTAGCAGGTAACACGTTTAAAGAGAATCAACAGCCTCTCGTAAAAGATTTTTCGAACGAGATTTTGGAGTCGCGAAAGAGAGGGAGAAAGGTGTTGATGCGAATTCGCCGACGAGTGCAAAGTACTAAGTTTCTCATCGCGCTCGGAAGGCATGGCATGGCAAGGGTGGTGTCGTTATTAATGCGGGCCTAGGTCATGGGCGGCGGAATGTCTCCTCGACTGGTCGCCGTAGCTGGTTAGTTCATAAGAAGGCCAGTGGCCGCGCTCTCGCGGCCACTATAAATAATCGGGTGCGCGGGTATGTCCAAGTATAGCCCGTTGGGAGGGTGCCAGTCTCAGCGAGGAAGCCTCAGCTATTTTTGAGGGCTGTCGCCGCTACTAACCGCTCGACGGACGGCACTCCGATCAGGACCGTCGACGGAGATGGCGATTCCGCTGCGTCTCTCCCTCCGAATGGGGACCATTGACGCGCGTATCGAGCCTCCTTTCACCCCTTTCTCCCTTTTCCTCGCACCGCCTTTCCTTTCTAGTCCGATATCGATCTTCTCGTCCAGATTTTACTCTTACGGTGACCTTGAGCGGCGTCGAATCAGGCCGATTATGTCAATGTCGAGATTCCGCGGATTACGTGATCGAGATAGAAGGATAGAGGAACGGGACGCGGAGAAAAAAGAGGAAGGAACGGCAGCAGGAAGGGGAATTGCCGGTTTTGGCAACTTGCATTCACGTGCTGGCTTCACGGTCAATCGTAAAACGAGGACTCCGAGGCTCGATTAATATGCGGATGACTCGTACTGCACGGTTTTACGCGTTACCGGATGTACACGCGGATAAATTTACACCGGCTCCCGATGCATGTTGAATACGAAAAAAATTAAGCGATGGACAGTGCATCTTAAATAGCAAACGCCTCGCTGAAGAATGTTAGATATTGATAGCGATGCTAGAATTGAAATTGTATAGAGATGTATGAGGAATCAGTTATCAATCGAGATTACAATTCATTTTTTATTGAAGAAATAAAAGCTGATATGAAAACCTTGAGTCATATATATATATGCTATAGCTTATTTTGTATTGTCACAATCTCCGCAGTCTCTGGTGCAATCATACATTCAAATTAGCTCTAGTATTAGCAGTGTCGTAAGGATACTCATAATTTAGCAGAAAAGGTAATCTCATTGCGGAAGAAGTGAAAGGCTTTAATCGATTGATTCGATTTTGCATGTAATAAAATTATCTTCTATGAATTATTAAGGAAAACGTACAATTCTTTTGAATGAAAATTCAAGTCATTCTAAACAAGAATTAAAGATTACTGATGTTGAACTTATTATCGAGAACGTATAACGTTTTTTCAGAAATATTAATAATTTTCGTGTTTAGTAAAAAGTACATACATAAATTTATTAAGAAGAATATTTTTAGATAAATATTTAAATGTAGTTAAATATTTTTAGATAAATATTTAAATATAATTAAATATCTTTAGATTAAATATTTGTCGAGTTTTTCATCATCTAGAAATTAAAATTTATATATGTGCGTGTATAAAAAAAGTCTGCATTAAGAGAAAACAATTTGCAAATAATCCCCCTCTATCTTATCTAATAATTATATATAAATAATATTATATATATAAAAATATATTTTATATACAAATTATATACATATATATATTTGTATATATAATATAAAAAATAAATAAAAAAAATAAATTATAAAAAGGTAGATAGGCATATACCCCCGGTTGTCTGTTATATTCCAATATTAATATCCAATATTAAAATAATATTTATCCCGCAAAAAATTCTTGTTTTCGAAAAATTAACATTTATTTTGAAACTTTATTTTATAATTTTACATTTATAAATTTTTTTTATTAAACTGATTAGACCCGATGACTTTTTTTAATGAGATATTAGCAGATAGACCAGATAATTTAAAGAGACACATGAAATGTAAGGCTCCTCTCGCCGTTTATAGCGTATAGAACATAAACATTTCTTAGCCAAATCCGAGAGTCGAGTTACTTGACTTAGTAACTCTTGCGTTGCATAATAGGCAGTGCGTACAATCACGGATTGCGTGAATTTTTGAACTAAAACTATTATAATTTTAATTCATCCAGGCGTTATTAAATTAGAATTACAATATTCTCTTAATCAGAACGCCTTAAACTATCGCGATATATATATCACGAAGTCGCTGAATCGGGAATCGAACCCGAGTCTTTCGCTTGCCGGGCGACTGCTCTTACCACTGAGCTATTCGGTCCCACACCGACACTTCTCCTATCCGTTTTTATTAATCTATGGAAATAATGAGAACACGATCATTTTTAGCTCGGTGTGTAGTTCTAAATAAATTGGTAAATAATACGGCTCTATGTATTTAACAACATGATAATTAAGAAACGAGCACTAAGAGTCTACAAAACGCGGATGGCAATGCGTAAATTTTTTCGAACATTAATCGAAGTCTCAAACCAAGAGAATCTATAACTTGGCATATATGTATATGTCTTAAAAATTTTTTCGCGAACAATTAATGTTCGAAATAATTTACGCATTGCCATCCGCGTTTTGTAGGCTCTTAGTGCTCGTTTCTTAATTATCATGTTGTTAAATACATAGAGCTGTATTATTTACCAATTTATTATTTTTCCTCTATCGTGCATTCGCTTTGAATTTCCCGCCTCTTCGACATATACTCCATTCGCCGTAACATCTTCCAGCCACGCGCGTAGTTGTCCAAGCGACGCGCAATCAAAATCGCGTCAATCGTGCCGTATCATTGCTATTATAATCGTGCAAAAAGAGAAGATTGCAATTCCGATTATCCTCGATTCATCTGTGCCGGGAGTAAGGATCGAGTATCGCATCATTTTGAAAAAAACGATCTCGGAAAAAAGTGGACAAAAGTCGCATCGGGCGCGTAATCGACTCGATCTTCACGCAATCGCATTGTCAACGTTAAAAGGGCGCTGCCGCGATCTGGTGGGCTGGTCGGTGAATCGCGCGCGTCCGTACGTCGTCGTGTGTCGAGACTGTGTGCGAGAATCCGGAGCAAGCGTTTCTCTCGGACTTTTAACCCTCGAATTCACGCACCTAGCGACGACACGCACAGGGCGCGAGGTCGCGTCCTGTCATCGTCATCATTATCATTGAGTAAGTCCCAGTGAAGAGGGAGGGAGGTCCATTCGTCAGCCGGGCGGTGGCCGGAGCGATTCCGCTTTAATCATCGCCGATTTGGCACGCGAGTTGTCAATGAAAATCGATCCCGAATTATCTGGGTCAGAGGGCATCAGTCGCGTTGGACGCTCGCCGAATTTAAATGAGTCATATGATCGACGCGATCGGATCAGTCGATCGCGAACGCACGACCTGTCGACGTTCGGTGATTACGCTTTCGCGATAACAGAAATCGGTCGTGTCGTGTCAGTCAGTCCTCCTTGGCGGGGGGGCGCGTCTCGTATCGACATCTTTTTTTCCCTGCGGTCAATGCGCCCTTTGAATAATTGATCCGGCACGACTGACGGGCGCCGCAATAATTAGCCGGAAACGTCAATAACGCGCGACAGCCTTTCCTTTGTTTATAACGGCGAGAGTTTTAGATGCTTCTTGACGTGATTGTATCTTAAATAGTAGAAGAGATAAAGCTTTATTCTAATTAAACGCTATTGTATAATATATCGGAGCTTATTGAGATACACGAGGATTTTTGCACTTGACTGTACATTATAAAATTTTACAAAATGTCGAGAAAACACTCGGTTGTTGACCAACAGCCATGGGATGATTTACAGACTTCCTCGTCAACCAAAACAACCACCATGACGACAGCAGCCAAGCTATATGGCAAGGATCTAAGCGAGTATGATGACATTGATGTGGATCAATTGTTGGCTGAGCTCACACCGGAGGAACTAAATATGCTGGCCAAGGAAGTGGACCCTGATGTAAGTCTGTTTGTTTATATAAATGATTAGTAATCTTATGTGTTTTTTTCAAAATCATGTGCTTTTTGAAAATAATTGAATTTAAATTATGCTTATAGGATAGCTTTATGCCACCTTCGCAGCGTTGCAGTTATGAATGTAACAAGAGTCCTACAGGGCCGCTGAATCGAAAGAAACTCATTGAACATATCAACAAGCAAGCTTTAGAAACACCTGATATTCCAGAGTTGAAACCATATGTACCTGGTGTAGTTAGAGGAAAAAAAGTAAGTATATAGATTATAAAAATAGGTTTTTGACCATATAAAAGATGGTATAATATTTATAGCATAATCTAATATTTTCTTATAAAAATCTAAAGTCTGAAATTATAATTATAAAAAAAGAAAATATGTGTAGAAAGTCAATGTACAGTTTTGCACAATATCTGTATCAATTATATGTATCGTTTCAGTGGATACCTCCACCACAAGAAACCATAAAAGAAAAGGAAGCAGATGAACAGATTGCGATAGATCTTGGGGAGGAATACGAACAAGCGCTTTCAGCCGCTACCCAAGAAGAAATCATTGATCTTGCTGGTAAAGATTGATCATTTCCTAAAGTCCATTGTCTTGGAATTAAAAGATAAGCAATTATCTAAAATCGTCTCTTTCTTGCAGCTATTCTTGGTTTCCATTCCATGATGAATCAAGATCAGTATCACGCATCTCTATTGAATTCTGGACAACCGGTCGGACTCGGCTGGGATGGAGTAACGAAAGCTAGTCAACCGAAAGTTTATCCTATGGAACCGCCCAATGATACGGACGTCGACGCCACTATTAAACAAGTGCGGGACGATGACTCCACTCTGACTGACTTAAACTGGAACAATATTAAAGTAAATAACAGCAATTGGCAAATATTTTCGTAAACAGAACAATATATTTTATTCTAAGCTGGCAATGATATTTATTGCAGAATATTTCGGACGAAAAATTCGTACAATTGTTTGAAGGATTAGAAATGAACACACATCTTGAATCACTAAGTTTAACTAATGTTGGACTCAACGATAAAACTGCACAACGGCTGGCCGATGCTTTAGAGAAGAATTCGACACTCAAAGTACTCAAGTGCGCATTTTTTATATTTTATATATTTTCGCGTTAAAAGTGTGTGCCGCTACTTATTATTGTTGTACTTATTATTATTGTAATGTTAACATTTTTTTTTTAGCGTGGAGACAAATTTCATAAGCCCACCTGTGATAGTAAGGCTGATCAGATCTCTTCTTAAGACAAAATCCATTGAAGAATTTCGATGTTCCAATCAGGTATATATATATATATATATATATATATATAGATCATTGCGTAAAATTATGTAAAAAAATCTTATGATAAAAATAACGGTTCCATGAAATTTTAATATTTATTTCGCAGAGATCGCAAGTACTAGGTAACAAGATCGAAATGGAAATCACACAATTGGTAGAACAAAATCCAACGTTGCTGCGACTTGGATTACATCTGGAGTTCAATGATGCTAGACATCGCGTGGCTGCACATTTGCAACGCAACATTGATAGGAGTAAGTACATAAAGAATTTTGCAAAGATTTATATTTATCAGCATATCGTAGACCATAGAAAACATGATTGGTATTCTATAAAACAAAATTATTATTTAATACCATCCTAGGCATAAAAGGGTGTCTCTTATAAAAATGATCAATTATTGATAACAGAAGATTAGCATTGATTTATTTTTGTAGCAAATTGCTATAACTAGATATAAAATCTAATGAAACATTGTGGTGTCTATATTTTAGCATCCAGAATAACTCTTTCCACAGGTCAACACGTAATAATCTTAAATAAGTGTTATACAAATTGTATTAGTAATGAAGCGTCTCCCAGACGCATTCGATACTATTGTTTCTACTACGATGATAATTGTACTGTTTTCCATTTAGATGGGAGCAATTGTATGGGGGACTATGGAGACCATGTGACGAAATGCTTCTAATCCTTCTGAATCTGCTTCGTAGTCTCATGTAGCGCTTTACTGTAGCACATTTCATCATTTCATCTATTCATCCTGCTATATTCATTCATTATTTTTTTAGCTAGGGACATAGAGGTAATTATAAGCTCCTCGTCCCATCTCTATGCACTTTATAGAACTTTCTGACATAGTATTTTTCCCCAAACCTTTACCATTTAAAGATATAAAAGTAAAACTATATATAGGAATGACTATTCTTCTTTAACATTTAAATTTTATTTAATAAATGCTTTTTTCTCCCTCTCAATAACGTATCAAGCCTCTTATGTCATGTTTTATACTTTCTGTCTTTATCATCTGCTTTTTCTTTATTACTCCTTCAAAAATCTATTTTATTTCGCGCATTTCCTTGTTATTAAAGAGATAGATAAAAAAATTGTGCAAGTAACACAAACTGATCAGACTATGATCTGTCTGTTTCAATTTTCAGCGAAACATGGAGAAACGAAGATTAGAATAGTTTAATTTGGTATGAATCTGTCGACCAGTTTTCATATTTAATTAAACGCTTTAATAATTCAATTAACGATTAAATTCGTGCTTGATCGATGTTAAAAAGTACTGCTTTTTTACGATCTTATTATTTAATAAGACGAAACATCGGGACGCTTTCATGACTGATATGCTTCATTGCATTTTTAATTTATTGCTTCTTGCTTTCTAAATCTAACATTAATATTACAGAAAGTAACAAGTGATATCTGAATTATCGTGTCACGATAGACTTGATTTCCTAGCAAAACATGCAAATGAATTTGTAAATTCTTAAATTCCCGCGCGTGCAAATCTCTTAGAATTATATCTTCTTATTCTCCAATTATGGCATGCATCGCTATTGTAGAGACCAAAGCAGAAATCCTTCAAAAATATTTTTTAAAAATATAAAAATGACAAAACTTTTGTATTGTTTTATCGAATTTGTCGAAAATTTATTCCCAATTCAAGCGAATGACTTCGATTGAATGACTATAATTTTAATTGATTATTTATTTGACTAGTCCGTCGTGTGGAGGCTCAAGCTAAGTTTCTAGCGATTTCTACTGGCCCTTCAACTTTCAAGGTTGTTCCCGCAGATGACTTAAAAAATAGAGCGTAGCGCTATTGCAGCGCAGTGAGTAGTTTTATTATCAAAAGTGAGCTTGTCTTTTCCCATACGATTTTGATAACTTGTTCGAAATACTTACTTTGATCCTTGTACTCGTATTAATTCGTAATGATAACGTTTCAGTAAAATTTTAACATTAAAGAACCTTGAATTTAATAGTTTCTTAATAACACTTAATATTTTTTATGACAAATGCAAAAGGATGCATCAGTTTGATTATTCTTAGCTATCAATGACATTTCCGAATGTTCGGTATCTCAGTTTCAATATCCGATTCATCATTAGAGATAAAACTGTTTGTAATTTTATGTGCATTTCGAAAAACCTCTCTCACGACGAAAGTCATGTGTAACAATTGTCTCCCGAATCTGTCTCAATACTAAACGAATGTAATAATAGTTTATTCTCCACATTTGTCAGAATCAAACAGATATCAACATAAAATGATAAATGCAACTAATATTTCATCCCTTAACAATCTGTCGCACGATCTTATTTTGCATTATTGGCACTCTTATTGATTACTCTTCCTTACTCTGTTTTCTTTTTTTTGCATCTCGTCCCACTTTCTTTTTAAATTTAACTACCTCACACTTCCTTTCTAATATCTCAATATACTATCATGATACATGCGACATACAGATGACAAGGGTTTAGGTTTTTATGATTCGAGTTCAGGGTTCCTTGGTCAAATCTTTCAGGCAGGATTAATGGATCGCCCCGGTCCCTACTCTACATTATACGTCACATTTATTTGACGCATATGTATATGTATATGGGTGTTCGTCATGACGCGCTCGTGTTATATCGATATCGAGCTGCCAATGTCCATCTTGATTCGCAAGATTGTAAAAAAAATATGTTGATTTATAAAAAATATATGTAAATCGATTCTAGATATTTTGAACAATACAAATCTTTCGCCCTTAAAGTTTCTGGTAAATTTTTTTCTAATCATTACAATTAATTAAAAAATAATTAAACATAATATATATTGATATTGATCAAAAGATTATCTTGCTAGTCGAGATTTGGTACCGTGAAATCTCTTTTATCGTAAACGTGTACTATCCACGATGGTAGACTCTGCAAGCCCACACAAACTGCGATATATATATATACTCACGATACATATTCTTTCCCAACAGTACGGAAAGATCTATCGTTGCGGCTACAGTTCCGATTCTTTAACATGAACCATAGGAAACCTGCCTTGATTCAATGAAAGGTAGCTACCCGTTGTATGGTAGACTGTCAGCAGAATAAGTCGCACCTTTCCCTTTCGCGCGGGAAAGCTTAACCAACGCCAACGCTATTTTTACAGCTTCTACTAATTAATGCTTTTTATTAAACAAGTTGCGCCACGAAAAGAAGCGTAATCGGTGTGTTTAGACGCGATCGAAAAGAGAATATTCATCATATCGTTGTCGAGACATGATATATATTCTGTACAGATTCGCAACATTTTATACTTTCGCGAGAATAGATTCGTCAAGTTCGATTTCGATGCTTCATTTTGAAAAGCAATTATACCATTCCAATGTAAATTATATTCTTTCCAGCCTAATTAGTGCAGTGATATCGAGAAATAAAATTTATCATAATTATAGTCGCACAGTATTAAATCGGGTTTTGTTCGCTGAAGAGGGTTGCGTGACTCCTAGAGCGTCGTGTATTTTGACGTACGCACATCACCATCATTACCGTTGCATCGCACCTGCGATGCAATGGAGTTTAGATGCATCCTATCAAACGCAATGAAGTCATGACGCGTTAATTTCCACAGAAGCGAGGTTCCTAGGAGCTTTATTCCCCTCGCGTGACATCCTGCCGACATTAACCCGTCAACTCGAAGACAGCCTAACACGCCGACGTTGGTGCAAACCGAATCTGACTGACGTCTGATACTGAGTGAATCGTTGTCTGAACTATTCGCGCGGGGATTTTTTTTCTTTGCTCGAGCACCGCTCAATTATACGCGCACGTCTGTCTAACAAGTCTAGTCGAGCCTTCTCGTGAAAGAGATGAATAGTCATCTTTTGGAATAATTAGGATGCATATGAAAAATCTCGCAATTTATGTTTGGTATTTTTATGAAAACGTGAAAGCATATTCGGTCCTCGGAACCCTTGAAATCTTTAAAATCGCGGGTTTTGTACAAATAATTATTCCTTGGATTACTTTTTTCAGTTATGATATTTCTTATTTTTTTGTATTTTGAATTTTGATTTCAAAATTGGAGTTTTGTCTATGAACTGAGTCTTCGAATTTTCATTTATTTTATTTTCAAATTTGTGAATTTTTTTTTCCTAATATAATTTTACAGTTTTACTTTCTAGTTTTGAAAATATTCGTATTGTACGCGTATTATTGGGTTTTAATCCCCTGCGAAATTTTATGATACCCTCGATCGGCGCCGGGATATATCGTAATGACAAAACGCACGTACCGCGGAGGTGTTATTTTTAAAATGCAAATCGTTGAGGTGAGAGAACAATTTACTCTTTCATCGGGGATTAACGGCGTGACCCGTGTTAATGAGTCTACAAATGCTCGCACCAGGCGCAAAATTGCTAATATTAATTGCGAATTGTGTGCACGGCATTTTAAAATAATATCTTGCGCAATGCTTTCATGTAACACGAAATGTTAATTGTTGATGCCGATGGATTTTATTGCGTGGAATTTATTTAGGATTACAAAAAAATCTCTTTTAACTTGTATCTTTAGAGATTTTAAGACTTACATTGCATTCGAGAGTAAAATAAATTTAATAATGTGAACCATATAAATTATTACACATTTTATTAATGCAATCGTTACGTTATGTTATGTCATTTTCAAAATCAAATTATCATTCAAAAAAATGTAGATAATATAATTTTTAACGGAATTTTTAGCCAAGAATGGTATATTGTCATTAATTTTAATAGAAAACATAATCTGACGATAAGAACTATTTATACAAGCTTTTGTTTCATTTTCATTAGGTAAAATTCAAAACAGTATAATCTCTGAATGAAAATGTGTATGGTTTATCCTATTAGAATTGTATACATTTCAGATCATATGTATATTCATGAAGAATGTATATATTTATTTGATATTATTATCAGTATCGTTTATGTTATATTTTTGAACTCGCGTTCCCTTCCATCATCCTGCAGTTTCGCGCGGATTATTCGGGACCGAAGATTTAATTGCGAATAATTACAATAATTTTCACGATTTTCATTTAAACTGTTCGATGGATATATCGTCACAAAATTTCGCAGGAACGATGGTCGTATCGACGTTTTTTGTTCGCGTTATACATCTTACCGTCTTATTTCCCTAATAAAAAATGTCAACGTCAGTGGTGAGACTTTTGGCGCTTCTCTGAAAGATTATTTTTTTGCTGCGTTAAACCGTTAGGTAGTTTTTTCTGCTCACTGCGGTTTTTTTCTATCGCAACGTAGACTAAAAATATTCCTCCTGAGAATAAATCTGTGGAGGACACGTGCATTAGATTAATGGTTCTCGTATCTGTCTGATGACTAACAACAATATTGTGTCGTTGTGTCTGTCTTTGCCAATTTTATGAAAAATTCTTACTAACAGCGGAGATATACATAAAATTTACCACTTCTCGCTATTTACCTGCTTTTTGCATTTACGTACGAGTTCGTCGCTGTTACGCGTTCGTAATGCATATTAAATCTTTAGATACTTGGAATCCTCTTTGTTAATCCCTATAAAGGCACGGAGCAAAAAATTTAATGGAACGTAATCGGGACGAGTGCGCCTCGAGCTTCGATAAATTACTTACGGGATCTTTAAATCTCCGCTCGATATTGCTAGACATACGGGAATAATTATGAGTTGACGATGAATTAACACGAAAATTAAATCGGCGAATAAACGAGAATAAATTGTGAAATTTTTTCTTTGGCATTTTTTCCGTGTAAAATGTAATCGTATGTAAAATCTTCAGGACTCTTAACGTTGATGCAAAAGCAGCTCGCGAGATTGATATATATTTTAAGGCATGCCATGTGTCGCTCGACTAAAATGCGAATACGAGACGTGCGCAAAATAAAACAAAAATAAAACACGATACTTTTGACCATCATTATTGCATTGTCGTTACGCGTATTAAACTAAAATGCATATCGTGTATTTCAGTTTCAACATTAATTTTAAATATAAAAACATGTGTATTAAATAAAATGTATACATTTTTTTAACAATCTACGCGAATATATACGTTCAAACCGAGTTTTCGAGTTTGATAACAACGGGGTTGATAAAAAAAAAAAAAGAAAGAAAAATCGACGCTCGTTTAATCGCGAACGGCATAAAAAAGAAAATTGCGGTGTCGGCGATGGAATCTGCCGTTTCGCCCGATAGAGCGAAACAATTTGGCGAGACCACAGCGAGAACGAAAGACAATTAAAAAGCGACGCGCGCTCGGCGTGATCCACGCGAGGGGATGTTTTACGTCTCCGCCGCGCGTTATTTCTGCCACGCGGCGAGATTACTATTTTACGGCGCGGATTACCGCGCTCTACGCATCGCGTTTCGAAATACGTTCCTTTAATCATGTAATGTGCTTTTTGTCCGGCAACAATCGATCCTGCACGTCGTCACGGATAAACGAGAAAATTGCCCGACGATTGTTCTACAAAGATTACGAGATATCGCGTGCTCTTTTTTTCGTTCGGGAAATTGATACGCGATGATAATTCCGCGATTGTCCACGGGAATTTAATGCAATAACAAGTCCGATAAAAATAAAAGAGATTGTTTACACATGTCTCTTGAACTTTTATGATAGGATTTTTTTTAATTAAAAAAATCGGATTAAAGATAATTGACAAAGCGTTTCTCGGATGCGCCGCAAGTCGAGCGATATGTTTGTTACGTTTTGTTTTTTTTTTTTATTTTCTTGTATATTCTTTACCGGCATGCATCGGATCGGTAAAGTATTTTTCTTTTTAGTTGCTAAACGCATATGATGACAGTGT